CCTCCTGAACATTCTATTCTATTCTATTCTATTCTATTCTATTCTATTCTATTCTATTCTATTCTATTCTATTCTATTCTATTCTATTCCATTCTATCCTGTCCTCTTCCGGCCCAGCCTCCTCTCCCTCCTCTCCCCGCCCCCCGCTCTGTCGTCAGGCCGCGGGCAGCCAGTGGTTCTCGGGGAGGAGGATCCACGGCGGAGAGGCAGCAGCGGCGGCGTCGCAGCGCTACACCGGAGAGCGGCTTTCGGGCTTTGTTCAGTGGATGTGAATGAGCTCCATCACCTCCTCCAGAAATGTGGACGGATATAAGGACACTGCTACTTTTCCACCTGCTCGTCCTCTGGCTCCACGTCTCGGAAGGTCAGTAGCTTCATAATAATAATAATAACGGAGAAATAATAATTAAAAGGCAGCTGATGGAAGCGCGCCCGGTGCTTCACTCACCGCATGTGTGCGAGATCAGAAAGGGGGGGAGGGAAAAAAATGTAGTTTTTATTTATTAGTAATGCGTGAGAAGGGGGTTTTCTGTCATTCTGGGTGCGTGGGAGCGTGTTTTGTGAGTGTGGGTTCAAGGATGGGAGAAGCCTGAGCGCGTCTGTCATGTGTTCCCGGCTGTGAGCGTCCATACTGCATCAGAGGTGGTAGTAGTAGATCCCAGCGACTCAATCTTTGTCTTTTACCACAGAGCACACACACACACACACACTCACACACTCACGGGGCCTGTTAACTGTTAAATATCCCCGCAAAGTGGATCAGCGGCAGAAAGAAGAGCACAAAACCACGACGCGCCCTGCGCCTCAGCCAATTGACCCGAATGAATGCTGAATATCAATTAGGCATTCAATTGCAAATGACAGTTGAACTACTCGCGCGTACTACTCCTGCATCCGTGTTGTTGCTCCTCATCCATCTGATCTCCTCCCCCCCCCTTACTATCTTCTTCCTCTTTGCAGCCACCGACGAGTGTGAGGATGGACAGTTTCAGTGCAACAACAAAAGGTGTATCCCCACCATCTGGAGGTGCGACGACGATGACGACTGCTCAGACAACAGCGATGAGGAGAACTGTCGTAAGTGTGGAGAAATAACTGGATTAAAGCTGTTAAAACCAAAACAAATGCACATTTTCTCTCTTGCATGAGTGATGCAATGTGCACTAAAGCTGTGTGTGATCATAAATAGCATTGCTGCAAAAGTTCATTATTTTTTTTTATCATTGATCCCATCCGCTTTTCATTAGAGGTTAATGCTCTGCTCAGGACTGGGATGTGCATCGAACCTCCTCTGTCCTAATGAGCTGTATTTTCTCATCATGTGAAGACTTATGGACCAGAAAATGCGTCTCCTCTTTGTCCCTCTCATAATTTCCTCTTTTTTTTTTCTTTTTCCCAATGTTCCATTAGCTTTTTTTTTTTAAATCTATTTTTTCCTCTCCTCTCTTCACTCATTGTTCATAGCAGATTTTTGAGAGATATAAAAGCTTACAGAGTAAAATCATGCTTTTAGTGAGGATGTGCGCCTCCGGCCCACAGAGAGGGAGAGAGAGAGAGCAGGTGATTTCATCCCCTCTGCTTCTATATATAGAAAGCTCAACAAGCATGTTTTTTTTTCTCTTAGAATGAGGGTTGATTGAGTGGAACCATTTTCCAATCATCACCAAATAAAAAGCTGTCCAGGTGAGAGACAGGCTGCATCCCGGTGCGTTGGTCCAGTGCACACCGGCTCCCTGACAGCTACCTCGGATGTGTTGTTCTGTGCGGAAATAATAGAATTCCAGTTTTCTTTTTTTCCTTCCCCTCCTTTTTGACAGAGAGCCAGTGGCCTATATTTTCAAAGAATGCTCGCGCTGAAAGCCAGTGAAGTTGTGCCAAAGCCAGGCTCTGCGTGGTTAGCTGCACGCTGCTATGCTCTTTTGTGTCTGGGTTAATTGTGGCTCGGGAGGAATTCCTGCACCTCCCCACGCATGCACTCTCGTTTTCTCCTCGCACCTGTCTTCCGCAAACTCCCACGCCGACCTGTTGTGTACGACGTCGACGCTGTGTTGCTGGTCTGGAGGTCTACGAGGGCCAAGGAAAAGCAGGTCACTTGGAGCATCTTTCCTCCTGAAACATTCATGCGTCGACTGCTTGGTGTACACCCACAACAACAAAAACCAACCCTGATGTTTGGAATCATTACTCTGTCAGGCTTTATTTCCTCTGTATTTTCCTTCATGAATCAAATAGGAAGCTGTTAGCCAGGTTTTATTACCCCCTGCGTGTTTTCCATCAGGCTGAGCTTCTGACACATTTAGGGTTTGAGTGAAAACCCTCCTCCTGAAAGCCTTTTAAGCCGAGACCACTGTCAAGCCACCGTCTGACGATTACGACAGTCGAGAATCACTTGGCGTTATATTAGAGAGTGGCCTTCGTTCTGTGTCCGTTTCCTTTTTTCTCTTCTGCGTGGGCAGGCCCGATCCAGAGGCCGGGCCTGTGTGAGCGATCGGTTTCTGCACTGAGGATATTAGTTGTGAAACTTTCGCTCCGGCTTGTGCTATTTTTAATTAACGTGTTGCTATTGAAGGCACTTTTTTCTTTTTTTTGCTCCTGTAAGCCCTTTTTCTATCTCAAGAGGGCTAAAAGTACAGAACACAGCCAGTGTGGTGCAGCCAAGTGTTAACCTGTACGACAAAACGCTCGCAGAGAGGATTTAGCCGGTACGAACAGCAAATCCTGTGCAGAAATTACACAGCTAGTTTCCTGTTGACTATGAAGTGGTCATGGTTGCAGTTTTTTTTTTTTTTTTTTTCAAATTAAGTTTCTGAATGGCTCGGTGGATGCTCTCGGTTTTTCCCACTTGTGCTCACAATATATTATTTTACAGCACAATGCCGAGCCGCGGCGACAGAATGTGTGCAGCAGACCGTGGTTATGAAATATGCTGACAGGAATAAAACCTTTGCTGCAGCTCCTTATTTGTCACGCCGGCGTCACCTTATTTCTGCTGCTGCTGCTGCTGCTGCTTGAACCCCACGGAGCAGGTGTTAAGCTCCTAAAACACAGATATTTCTCAGACCAGCATCCCTGATCCTTTGCGTCGACCCCCATCCCCCACCAGTCCAACCCCCCCCCTCACCCCACCCAGACTCCCATCTCTCCATCCCCCATCCTCCAAACTCCAATTCCCCGCTGACCGCTCCCTCGCGGCGTGCACCCATACATTCATACATGCATAATTGCACCTCATAAGTATGCGTAGACACAAGTGCAGGCCAGACTTGTGGCAGCATAAACCTGCATAGAACAGAGTGTATATCCGTGAACTCCCTGTTTGTGTGAAAGTTGAAGCAACAGGAAGCTTGAAGAAACTGTATGTTTTTTTGTTTGCATAACTTTTCTGGTGAGGATGAGCCGCCTCTCGCCTCCGTCTAGGAGTTGACAGCAGAGGGAGGCAACAAAAGAACTCTGCCTTGAATTTCCTCAAAGTCAGATTCGTTGCCAACTCTGACACGGAGCCGCCGTTTAATCCTTTCCCTGATTATGGCGCCGTATCACCCGGTTTCCATCGAACTGTGTTACCTTCAAAGTCCGGAGTGTCCGCCTCGACTTTCTTCTCATCCTTGGATGTGATAATGATCTATTTCATCTGTGTTCATGAATTTAACATTTATACCTGCGGGGAGGCGTTTTTCACATCGCCACGTCGAGCTCAAAGTCTTCTTTTGTTTTCCCTCTGCGATGCCGAGTCAGCAACGAGCCCAGCGCCTCCTCTCTTTGTGTTCCTTTACCTAATAAATCCGTGCAACTCCTTCACAGGGCGGATTGGCTTTTGAGACCGCTCCTCCGCATCTCCTGCAGTCATTTTTAAAAAAAAGAAATTCTTTATTCCAAAGCCTGTCACTGGATGCTCCCCCTGCTGCAGGGTTGACACCAAAGGTCTGCCAGCACACAAAGATTTAGATGTAGAGGAGCAGAAAGTGTCCCTGTGCCCTTGATTGATGGTTGTTTTAAAGTTCCAGGCTGTGCGTCGACTAAACCCCTAAAAACTTATCTCTGTGCATCAAAGTTCATTTCCTGGAAGTTCTTTTTTAATGAATTTAAACCCTTCATGCCTTAAAATGACTTTGATGTAGCTCTGCACTGTTGCTTCCTCTAAAATCTGCAACAGATCTATGACGTCCCTTCTAGCGCACTGCAGCTGAAGCACACCAGCTCACCGACGACTTTAATTTCAATTCAATTTCAATTTTAAACAGAGAAACCAACAATCCATAGTTGCCTCTGGACTTCCTTTGAGCAAGTGGTTGGCAACGGTGGGAAGGAACCAAAACGCCCCCTAGAGGAAAGGGGGTAAAAAAACCTCCGGCAGAACCAGGCTCAGGGAGGACGGCCTTCTGCCTCGACTGGTTGGGTGAGAGTGGGGATGAGAGGGAGGATAGCAGATGGAGAACAGTAACAGAGCAGAACAATAAATATGACTGTAAGTATTTTGGGGGTCGATGAGGCCAGAGGCTGGAGGTCAGGGACGTGAAGCTCCAGATCCAGAGACGTCTGCAGGGAGCACAGGACAGGACCTCAGAGGAAACACAGAGTTAGTGACATGTAATGGTGGTTATGGAAGGAAGATAGAGGAGAGGAGAGGAGCTCGGTACATCAGTAGAATCCCCCCGGCAGTTTGAAGCTACAGCAGCATAACTACGGGACAGTTCAGGTGATCCTGAGCAGCCCTAACTATCAGCTTTATCAAAGAGGAACGTTTTAAGCATAACCTTAAAAGTAGAGAGGGTGTCTGCCTCCCCAACCCAAACTGGGAGCTGATTCCATAAGACAGGAGCCTGATAGGCTCTGCCTCCTGTTCTGGTTCTGGAAACTCTGGAACCACCAGTAGACCTGCAGTCTGAGAGCGGAGGGTTCTGTTAGGATGATATGGTACCATAAGGGTTTTAAGGTAACATGGAGCTGGTCATTGAGAGTTTGATATACGTTTTGGAAAATTTTACTAATTAAGCCACATATGTTTGAATTTGGGCTGCAAGGTGGATCGGTGGTTAGCATCGTCGCCTCGCAGCTAGAAGGTCGCCGGTTGGCGTCCCGGTGAGGACACCCGGGATCTTTCTGCGTGGAGTCTCCATGTTCTCCCCGTGCAGCGTGGGTTCTCTCCGGGTTCTCCGGCTTCCTCCCACAGTCCAGAAACATGTTGAGGTTAATTGGTGATTGTAAATTGTCCGTAGGTGTGAATGTGAGTGTGCTTGGTTGTCTGTCTCTAAGTGTAGCTCTGTGATAGACTGGTTACCTGTCCAGGTGAACCTGCCTTCACCCTGAGTCAACTGGGATAGACTCCAGCCCCCCATGACCCTAGTGAGGATTAAGTGGTGTATAGATAATGGATGGATGGATGTTTGAAATTGAAACCAATTTGTCGACGGACAACGGCACATAAAGACTCCCCCCTCTACGCTAACATGATTGGTTCCTCGGCTTTGCGACATACGAAGTCCTGAAAAACTGAATCTGCCTCTTTACGCTGCAGTTTCATGGTGGCAGCTCTCAGCCTTGGGGTTGACTACTTATTTCACGCATGATGTGTGTTGTAGCATCTAAAAAAACTCTATATGGACATGTTAACAAGGTTAACTGGAAGGGGTCTTTAATGCTTTATTCAGCAGTGTGCTGGGTTTTTGCTGAGCTCACATGTAAACATGCTTTAACCCTTTCAACACTATAGCCTCCTGTACCGGTCTGTGGCTTTCACCCCTGGTATAGCGGCTCCGGTATATGGTGACTTCCTGTTACGTTCATTCTGATTGGCTATCAGTGGGAATCCCCGTATGTGAACAAGCGATTCAGTCGTGATATAAATTATGCAAATGAAGCAAAATGATGTCGTTTGACCCCAAAAATCACCAGAAAACGGATTTTCGCTACCTCGAAATGTTTATAATGACTTTGGCTGATGTCGCAGTAGATAAGAACTGGTAGTTAGTTGCACATATCCCTGGTGATTATGAAGTTTACCTTTACCTTTTCACACCTGTATGTATATGACAAGCGTAAACTTCCAGATATATTTGACTGTCAACTTGTCTACTTCT